AGACCGTATGTGCCAAGTTCCCTTCGCAAGCAAATTTTCGACAGTCTTCATTCTTTAAGCCATCCCGGAGCTAATGCTTCTGTAAAACTTATTTCTGAGCGTTTCGTTTGGCCTGGGGTACGTAAAGATTGCAGAGAATGGTCACGTTGTTGTATCGCTTGCCAGCGTGCGAAGGTTAGTCGCCACGTTAACGCTCCACTTGGATCTTTTCCCTTGCCTCGGGCAAGGTTTAAAGAAATCCACATTGATCTTGTAGGGCCTCTGCCTCTTTCTCGTGGCTACCGTTATTGCTTTACTGCCGTTGATCGTTTTACTCGATGGCCAGAGGCAATACCGATTGAAGATATTACAGCTGAAACCACAGCCAAAGCTTTACTTTCTTGTTGGATAGCACGTTTTGGATGTCCTACGGCTATCACAACTGATCGTGGCCGACAGTTTGAATCCGCTTTGTTCAAATATCTTTCTCAGTTGATTGGTTTTGAGCACAAGCGCACAACAGCCTATCACCCAGCATGCAACGGTCTGGTTGAGCGATTCCATCGCCAGCTGAAAGCAGCGATCGTCTGCCACGCTAATGACAAGTGGACTGAGTCGTTGCCGTGGGTTTTGTTAGGAATACGGAGTTCATTCAAAGATGATTTACAGTCTTCATCAGCTGATTTAGTTTATGGTGAACCCCTTAGACTTCCTGGCGAATTTTTCGAGCCTACAAGTAATGGAACTACAGACTTATCTGAGTTTTCCGCGAGGTTACGTAGTTTCGCTGAGAAAGTACGTCCTACACCGGCATCACGACACAGTAAACATAAAGTGTTCGTTTTTAAGGAACTACAGTCCTGTGATTTTGTCTTCCTTCGTGAAGACGCTTTACGAGGCTCTCTTCAACCTTCTTATACAGGTCCTTACAAGGTCATTTCGAGAGGTGATAAAGTTTTCAAAATTTTAGTAAAATCGAATGTTGTATCAGTTTCAATCGATCGTTTAAAACCTGCTTTTATTTTGTCTAATGCAGAAAAACCTCCTACTTCTTCAGACCCTAAACAAGCTAATATTACTCGATCTGGGCGCAGGGTAAATTTTCCTGATTTTTATCGCCCTTGATGGGCTCTGGAGGGGAGTGATGTAGCATACACATGTATAAACATACATTTCATATTCACATAAATTTCATATTTTTATCGACATTTTACATCGATATCGTAATATCGTCACTCGCACAGAACTACATAAAAACTGGTCTTGCGGGATTCGCGCGTGAATGTGTGCGTGTACGCAGGTAACCAGTAGTACGTAGCCAGTGCGCTTAGTGGCTTGGTATTTGACGCACATATGTTTATTTCTTTATATTATATTAAGTGAATATTGTAACCAAACATGAAATTAAAGTAATTCACTTTAAAATGGTGGTTAAATCAATTACCCCATAACTTCATTCGATTTTGTGCCATTTCACATATTGCCCGCTAGGAAGCAAAAAATCTTATCGCGAGAAATGAAGATTCCCGCTAGGACTCGGTCGCGTATTAGAAAACAAGACCTGAAGCTCGGTGCTTATCGTCGATATACAGGAAACGCACTGAATCAATCTATACAATTAATGAGAGTGGATCGATGAAAACCCCTTTAAGGATAGTTTGGTGGGGCGTGTCTTATCAAGGAGTCACAAAACTACATTTTTGTGTAAATGGAATCTTCAGCCAAAGTTTATCAAGATACAGTCTTGGATCATGTTGGGAAACCTCGCAGCGATACACTTGTTAAAAATATACCTTGGACTTTCCAGCAGGATTCTCCAACTAGTCACAAGGCACGAACTACCCAAGCCTGGCATGAAACAACGTTCCGGGCTTTATAAGAGCTGAAGACTGTCCCTCATCTGGCCCAGACCTCAACCCTTTAGACTTCAATGGTCAGTTTTAGAGGACATGGCCTGCTCTAAGCGACACGGCGACATTGATTTTCTAAAAAAATTTGGAGTTTACTCCTTAAGAAACGATTTGAATTATAAGGCCCGGTACGGAAATTTTATGAGGAGTAAAATCAAGTGTAACACGAAAAGTTGAGGCGTTATGTAGAAAGAGACAAACATATATATCTGTAGGATTGAACGTGTAAAAGAATGAGATGGAATACATTACACAGACTTTTCTATTTTGAATTCACGTTTTGACGTTACAACATTGTCAGTGTTGACAGGTGTAAAAAATAAAAGTAGATTGTCTAGCGTGCCATAGAGTTTTGTCAATAGTAATGGTCAGTGAAATTAAAACTAAAAAGATTGTTCATTCTTATTCTTCTCTTTCTATAAAGGTAACTTTGGTCACAGAAAAAAAATCCTATTTGGGCATAGATGATGTAGGTACGTTTTATTACTACTACAAACATTTATATTATAAAAACATATATTCTTACCACCTTTAGTATGAAAATATGGTCGACAGCTACAGAACATTATCGCCATCTTTGTTCTGCAGTGCATTTGACACAAGCTGAAACTATAAGCCTGGGAAACACCACAGCTTATAAAATATGGAAGTCGTTCGTGCCGTTTTGTATAGAAATCAAGATTTATTGTGCGTTTTCCAATTACAGCACTAGAGCGCATTATGCGGCACAATGCTCAACGTTGAGTGTTCCAACTACAGCAACGCTTCGCACAATTGAGCACTCTCAAAACGAATGCTCTCGCGTGCTTCTCGCAAACAATACCAACACAGTGACAGAAAATTGACCAGTATTTTTCTTTAAGTTGGCATTTATCGAAATTTTCGTTAGTAAAATATATTATTTATTGTTGAAAAATTTGTAAGGCTTTCGTTTCGTCGTAGTTTTAAAAATAATTAAAGTTATTTCAAACTGCTAAAAAAAAATATTAGTATGGATGAAGGTATAAATAGTTACTTTTTTTTATATTCCACATTTAAAATATGAATACAATTTTATTTTAAAATTCGGATCTGTAAACAAATTTATTTTACAGGATTATACTTTAGAAAAAATTGCAATGGTTTTGAATAATTTTTTTAGAAATCATTAAAAAATATTACTCAAAACGTAAATGATGTAAACTTCTTACATGAAACTAAATATTTTACTGTTAATTTAGCTTGTTAAAACCTTATATTCTTTAAAGGTTTTCTATTATTTCAATAAAAAAAATGTTAATGAAATAATTTGATGATTAAAATAAGCGTAAAAAGTTTTCAACCAATTATTATTGTTTACCACCATTGATATACAAAAAACCCAAGATGCACAGTCTCGAATAAAAGTAACGCTCGAAAGTGTCCCGAAACACTATTTCTGTCTATAACAGTATATGTTACAAGCATATATTATTGCAAAATCAACCTTACGCGAATTGCTTAAAGTTGTTATTACAACGCAGTGTATACGTACTTAAAGCAAAAAAATTTTACGACCGACCGTGGTCGGTAGGACAAGGTATTGAGTGGAGTCGAACATGACTTTTTTATTTACAACTATTTAACATAATTTTAAATTTATCCGACTTTTCGGGTGCTTTACAGCGTGAGTGGTCACGGTGACTGAAGACAAAAGGTGTTGGATGTTAAATAGTTGTAAATTTATAATAATACATAACATTAATCCGGTTAAAAAGTTTTTTCTTTAAATTAAAAAAAAATGTTAAATTGGCTACCTCCTGACCCACACTTTATATAGCGTAAATATATTTGTCAAAAACTACACACAAAAAAGTTCAAGAGTACATAAATTTATTTATTAAAAAAACACAAATAAATAACATCGACTCCACTTGTAGACGCGAGACTATTTGAAATGAGCGCACAATTTAGAATGTTGCGCTCATTTTTTGAGGACGTTTTTTAGACGTTGATTGTGCATCTTGGGTTTTTGTATATCAATGTTTACCACATTATTTATACATTAATGAGGTTGCTAACTCAATTCATAACATTTTTTTTACAACACTGACTTAGCGCACTCTGCTGATGCATTTGAAAACTAATTCACGTTCCAATTAAGCTTCAGCATTATGCGGCATTGTGCGGCACTGAGTCGCATAATGCTCTGTAATTGGAAAACGCACATTTTAAATAACATACTTTATGTAATACGCTTTATTGAAGTAATATAAATAATCCGAATAATTACAGATATATGTTTGTTTCTCTTATCATTTTAGCAGATGCGTTCATTTACCCTTTTTTTCTATTCGATATATATCATAATTATCGTTCGTAAGGAGTAAACTCCAATCGTGCGTCGTAGCTGACACACACACACTTTTTTATTTTAGAGCAAGGCGCAAGCTGTGGCGAAATTTTCCTTGGAAACAGTGCGTAAATGCATAGATTCGTAGCCAAACAGATTAAAGGCCTGTATGAAAGTCAAAGGTGGCCATTTCTAATTGACTATTTTTAATTTTTTGCTGAAACTTTAATAAATACTTTAACGTGAGACAGTTTTTTTTCGTAACATCTATATGTAATACGTAGGTATAAATTTTAATAATATTACATTAAGTACTTCATTGAAAAAAATTCATTTTCATTTGTAACAGAACTTATGGCTGGACTCTTTTATGTTCATAAGAGACGGAAACAAAAAACTTGAGACTGGATCATTTCATGGAAGGACTAAGAAATATGCAAATTAAACAAGTTATTTCTTGAATATTGTAATCTATTTCAAAGGTTTAAATCAAATTTTAAGAAATATATGTCACTTCTATTCTTCTCAGTCTGTGGTCACGATCAATTGTCAACTAATGTAAAACTGATAATTTACAAGTGACATAAGACAACTAATTAGTACTTTAAACTTTTCCAAATGTCTTTCAAATGAAAATCATACTATGTAGAATGTAGATTATTACTACTAAGTACTAATGTAAATAATAATTTGTATAAATATATTTTTACATTTCATTAGATACAAATTTCAAAGGTGAAAGACGTATTTTTATAGAATCTTATTCAAATTAATATCATCCATTTTTAGTGAACATTAAAATGACTGCAACAACAAAAGCGTCCGTGTCGCAAATTCTTCGCCACAAAGATGACTTGGGTGAAGATGATGACGAGCCCAAGAAGAAATCACGCGAGGATTGGCGTAAAGCTAAAGAGTTAGAAGAGGCGCGTAAAGCAGGAACAGCGCCTGCTGCAGTAGATGAGACAGGTACCAATAATTTTTATCCTTTTCTGAAAATATATGAATCAACAATATGCTAATTGTGTGGTTACTTTAGGCAAGGACATAAACCCTCACATACCTCAATATATATCATCTGCTCCATGGTACTATGGAACAAGTGGACCAACACTTAAACATCAAAGACCTCAGGCTGATAGAGAAGGAAGTTTTACAAAGCTTGATACCTATTACAACAAGGGTGTGGATGTTGTAAGTAATATTATTAATAAAATTATTATATTGTTAATGACCGTAGCTACCTTTGCATCACTTTTTGTGTACTTTGCTCAGTATATGTGATTGTTTCTAACTTCACAGAAAACTTAGCTGTTAAAGAACCACAAAAAACTAGTAAGCTTAGAATATTAAGAAATGACGGTCTGCTTTTGCTAAAAGAACATTAAGCCTAGACAAACAAAATCATTTTGCATGATGTTTGAATACAGCATTATAAAATAGTTATAAAAATCATTAATTGTAATTAAACTTAATTTTTCTTATTTTGCAGTCAAAAGTTTCAACCAAATTCAGAAAAGGCGCTTGTGAAAATTGTGGAGCAATGACACATAACAAAAAAGATTGTCTTGAAAGGCCAAGAAAGGTATAAATCTAATTTTAGTTCATTGTTGTTTGAAAATTATAAAACTATATTATATAGTCTTATTTGTATTGTTAAATTTTCATAATCTTAATCTTTTTAGATTGGTGCAAAGTTCACAAGTGCAGGGATAGCATTAGATGAATTTAACCAACCAAACTTAAACTTAAGTTATGATGGCAAACGAGACAGGTGGAATGGATATGATCCATCAGAACACAAAGCCATAATTGAAGAATATCAAAAGGTTGAAGAGGCTAAGAGAGAAATGAGAGCTCAGAAATTGGAAGAAGGTAAATAAATTATTATCCATTACTTTATTGATTACTTACTTTAAAAGTAACGGTCTATTTGTGGTTTCACATTATTGTCTTGTTTAGATGAAACATAATTTTACAGGAAAACAAAATAGAATCTTCGCTTGAGTGTTTTTGTAATTTATTTTAAAGTAAAGTTATTAGTAAGTTATTAGTAATATGAAACCATCATGATTTTTTATTTATATTTTTTAATAGTTAATGATGTCAAATGTGAGTAATAAATAATAATTAATAATTATGACTAACTTTCTAGACCCTACTGCTGCTGAAGATGAAGATAATGATGGTGAAGATGAAGATAAATATGTTGATGAAGTGGATATGCCAGGTACAAAGGTAAATGCAAATGCTTTCAGATTCCACAATAGAGTATAACAATCTATTTAGAGTGCTAAATTTCATAAGTGTAATGTGAAGTAAAATTCATTCCGGGGTGATCCTTATTCACTTAAATCAGGATTATTACAACTAAGGCATCCACTTAGGTAAACAATATCAGTTTAGTTGTTTTTGATAAATATTTATCTACATACATATAATAATATATGGTGGGGACATGTATAATATAGGCAGTTAGGTATTTGAAGTTAATTATTTTTTATAAATTATTTTGACAGGTGGATTCAAAACAACGTATCACAGTACGAAATCTTCGTATACGTGAAGATACAGCGAAGTACCTTCGTAATTTAGACTTGAATTCAGCATACTATGATCCTAAAACTAGGTCTATGAGAGATAACCCACACCCGGAAGCCGCAGAGTAAGTATAAATAACAAAGGAGGGGACAAGAAATAATGATTTATCTATAATATAAACATTTGCATTATCTATGGTCTAGTTTAACATAACACAATTTTTTATAATAATGTGTATATCAACATAGATATAAAATGGTTGTAATTTAAATATGTATTTAAGCCATTATTTATTGATTTGTTAAATTTGAATATCATTGTATAAAAAAGTATTATATATAAATTTTTTTATGTAAATTCGCGACCACCAAATAAAGACATAAAAAAATTAAAAATTACTATTTTTATTATTTAAAAGTCTGACATAAAAAAATTTTGAATTACTATTTTTATTATTTTATTATTATTAAATTTTCTAAACGTTCGTTATATTTAAATGGCTCTATACTAAATTTGTAACTAATGACCCGCCCTAGCATTGAAAATTTACAATATAATTATCTGGTTATAAATAGAAATAATCTTTATATTGGTAAAAGAACAGTACATATATTTATCTTAATATATTTACAGAAGTGACTACGCAGGAGAGAACTTCGTCCGTCTGACAGGTGACACAGTATCCCACGCCGCAGCACAAGTGTTCGCGTGGGAAGCGCAAGCGGCGGGATTAGACGTACATCTCTTGGCCGAACCAACTAAGTTGCAAATGCTGCAGAATGACTATCATCATAAGAAGGAACGGTTTGAGGGACAGGTGAGTTGTATTTGTATTGATTATACTAAAGGTAATTTCAATTTGCTTTTAAATAAAAAAAAGGGTGCGTGTACTTATGTATGCGCGTAAGAAGTTATACTTCTTTGGCATTATTAAATAATCAAAGACTGGAAAAGGAGTCATTATAGTCAATAAAGTTCAGTTTACATTTGAAAATTTAAATAAATACTTTTTATTATTATTCTCTTACATTAAGTGTAACATAAATTATATTATTATTCGAATGTTTTTTTTAAATTATGTCCAATGCCGTAGCATCTTCCGTGGGCAACTTCATTCTGTTAATTTTGTGTCACGGTGCGCGCGCATCGTAAAATTTCACTCTCATAAATTTTTCATAACGCGCCTAAAGAAGTATAACTTCAAAAATAGCCATTAAAAGAATTGGTGGAGAGAGTCTTGCCGGTTCTCTACGCCATAAATTGGGAACTTGTAAATCTAAATGTAGAAACTTTAATTAATTTTTGTTTTGACGTTCAAAAGTGTACATATTTTGGTGACGATATGCGGTACTTAAGTGGAATTTAATATTTAGACAAATGTAAGAATGTGTCTACATATCAAATCGCTTTTCGAAAGTAGCAAGGGCTAAGAGATTTATAAAAAGTTTCAGTTTGCTTTTTCATGTTTGCGTTTACAATTATTTAACTAATCTTTCACAAACATAAACGTATTTGTCATATTAAAACATTTTAAGCTATTTAATACTTATTTAAAATATAAGGGGAATATATTTTGTTTTTTTTTTCAAGGTTAAACAATCCGTTCTGGACAAATATGGCGGCGAGGAGCACTTAAAAGCACCGCCTCGTGAGTTACTTTTGGCACAAACAGAAATTTTCACTCAATATAATCGAGACGGTACGCTTGTTACAGCATCTGAGAAACAATGGCTGAAGTAAGTTCAATCATATTATTAATATATCATATTGTCTTTGGTTTCAAATGTAATAAATTCTAGTTTATATCTGTCAAATAGGGTTCGTTTTAAAACAACTTTTTATTTATTATCTATGGATATGTTTAATGTTTTTTGTGTAAAAATTAAAATATACATTGCCAAATTATAATGTGGTAATTTGTAATTTTAATATTGTAGAACTTTTTATTAAATCTAATAAAGAAAACACAATAATTTCAGATTGTTAATGATTAATCCTTTGCAGGAGTCAATATGAAGAAGACGTTCTTATAAATAACCATACGTCAGTTTGGGGATCGTATTGGAAGGATGGCCAGTGGGGATACAAGTGTTGCTATTCATTTATTAAGGTATGTCTACACTAGTGTGACACAGCTTCGGATGGACATAATATTTGGAAAATAAAGGGATGTCGTTTTCTTGTAAAAGGGTTTTTGAAATCGAATAGTATAGTACAACCATTGGTACAGAAGGTTAGGTGGCTTAGCACTACTGTGACCTCAAATAGGTACCACAACTCTTTCCGCACAGACTATTGGGCTATGTAAAGCAAATGAATGACCAAATATTTTTTTTAAAAATAAGGCATAGAAACATAAGTAAGACTTAATCCCTGAACATGGAATCTTTTGTTTTCGTCGCTTAACAAAAGTAAAACAAGAACACACAGAATCTATAGAACAATAATAATTTTTAGTTCTCATTAAAAGTTGATGTACAAAGTCTTAAAAAATCGCCATTTCATGAAAGTTATTATTATTTATATAGCCTCGATATATACATAATAATATAATTATTAAAAATCTATTTATTTCCAGATGTCTTATTGTGTGGGTGAAGCAGGCAAATCTGTTGTATTAGATGTACAAGAACCAAGTATTTCTGATAAAAAAGGTACATAATATATATACTATTTATTTTATTTTATATATTGATAGGCATGCTAATGTCATATTTGTTAATATTATTACTAAGTTTAAAAAAAAAATGTATATTCAAAGAATAATAATAATATTTTGGATGATTACAGACTGTGTGTTTATTGCCAGTTCTTCTCTTCCGTTCTACGCCCTTGATTTGAGAACTGGAACTAAATGTAAAATTAGAAGCATTAATATGTATTTCTTTACTGACAAGTCATAAGTGTACAATGTGTTACCTATATGATTAAATGATTTTTGAATTTGTATTGGGATTTCAAATCCTTGCATATAAAATACAAAAATATTAGAAATTTTGAGATTCAAACAAACTATGCTATGTTGTTGTTTCAAGGTAAAAAAATATTCATTGTATTACAGCCGCACCAAAAATAGAGAAATCTTCATCATCCAGCTCAGAGTCCTCATCGGAATCTGAAGAAAAAAAGAAAAGTAAGACAGAGAAGACAAGCAAGAAGAAGAAAAATAAGAAGAAATCAAAAAAGAAGAAGAAGAAGACGCTTGAAAAAGAAAAGAAAACAGAGGATAAATTGAAGAAGGTTTGTTGTATTTAAAATTACTATTAAATCACTTTAAGTTTAATATCTTAGAAATTAAAGTATTTTCAACAAATTATTTATTAATTCACCAACTTTTTTATTATTCTAGTTAGTAAAACATACATACATGGTTACACTTAATAACATAAGAGTATATAATTGTAAAAAAAAATAGTTATAATTATTCTATAATCATCTAACTTCATAATATTTATCTAACAGGCTTTAGAAATGGAGGAACGAAATCAAAGGCATGCTGAATACTTATTATCTAAAGATGAAAGAAAGCGACCCTACAACAGTATGATTGAAGTAAAGGAGCCAACTCAAGAGGAAATGGAAGCTTTCATGATGAAGAGGAGAAGGGATGAAGATCCTATGAGCCAGTTTATGTCATAGAGTATAAAATCAGACAGTTACAATTGATCTGGGTTGCAAGTTGGTTCTACTAATATATAATTTAAATATTATATTATTTAAATTATGTTGCAATGATGGTGATGATGCACGACGTTTATGCCGGATGTGCATTCGAAACGTAACATTTGTTATAATAATTAAATATATTATATATGTAAAGATAAACATTTGTTTTACTTACAGAACCCAATTTTCATTTGCGTTTATATAGCTATAGTTTTGTTAAACAGGTGTAGCTTGGACTAACAACACAACAAGTTGCATTTCCGAACAATGGGATTGACTTAGCAAAATATAATATTGATAGTAAAAACTGTATTAAGGCATGATAAGATACATGGTTGTTACCATCCGTATAAATATTTTTAATAGTATTTAAGAATTTGTGTCATTAGTATTATGATCAGTATTTTTCACTCACGAGTCAGTGGTATTTACTTAATCATGAAAAAATAATACAATTATTATTTCAGTAACTGTCGGAAGGCTATAGCCATAGCTGCAAAAATAATAATTACTCAAAAGTCATTGGTAATCTTAACAAAAAAACTCATTGTTAAATGTTAAGTTAAAGTCAATGTCACTTCAAAATTTATAACCCAAATGTCAAACGCATTTTATCATTTACTTTTTGTTGATTAACAAGCTTTTAGTTTGTGGATTGTGATTTTATTAAATAAATCATAATGATGGCTGAGGACACGACGGCAGATGCCACAAGGCGATTAAATGTTAAAAAACAGACATTAGATGATGCGTATGCTGCGCCGGCGAATTTTCTTGAGATCGACGTGGTAAACCCTGTAACGACCATGGGTGTTGGTAAAAAACGTTATACGGATTACGAAGTACGCATGAGGGTGAGTCTGAGTAATATTCTAAAGTAATACGCCAAGAAAATGCATTTGATAGATCAATGTACATGATGGTTCAACCGTCTTGTAAGTGGGCGTTTTGGCAATCAATTTGTGATTCGGAGGGTCGTTGAGCTGTACTTAATCAGTTTCCTGTTCCAGACGAACCTTCCTGTGTTCAAAGTGAAAGAATCCAGTGTTAGGCGGCGATACAGTGACTTTGAATGGTTAAGAAATGAACTTGAAAGGGATAGTAAGGTAAGGCTTGAAAGAGATAATGTAAATTGTATAATTTTCACTCTAAAAAGCTAGGACATAGAATGACTCATTACATAGTTATTTCTTTGTTTTAAAAAATAAAGGGCTAATGTATTTTTACATTTTTTTTTTTAAATGAAGCATATAAGAACTCTGCTATTTTAATAAAAATGGATTAATGTAAGAATAACCTTATTGGATTTTTCTGTGACTAATGTTACAAAAAAAATAAAGTGTGTTATGTTATAGATTGTAGTTCCACCTTTACCTGGCAAAGCATTAAAAAGACAACTGCCATTCCGGAGTGATGATGGTATTTTTGAAGAAGAATTTATTGAAGACCGTAGAAAAGGTATGTGTAGTGTGTATGGAATATGTTTCATAATAGTTCAAGGAACCATTTACTATCAAACAAAATCCTTTTATTAAATACTTCTTATTATAATTTTCTTGAGTTTATATTTATCATTAAATATTTCTTATTATATATTATATATTTTTTAAAATCCTATCTCCTTGTATACCATTAAATTTAAACAGACATACTTTTATGTTTGTAATTCTATTAGACATAGTAATATAAAATATAGTTATTCAAATAAGACAACAAACAATTTAAAATTATATTTTCACAGGTATTAGCATCAAGTATTATGTACATAATAATTAGAGAATCCATATAATAACACTAACTCAATCACTGACCATTCCAACACTGACCTTGTGTTATCTTAGTTTCGCTTCTTATAATGCTAAGTTGTCAGTACATGTAAATTTTTCATCTGCAAAATTAAAATACATACATTGATTACAATTTAATGTCTAAAATTGATTTTATAATTCTCCGAAGTTGTTTTACAAATTCTTATAAATATATTATTTGGTAATAAAAATTCTGTAATTCTGCCTTCTTTTTATATAATATTAATAGCTATGTTATAATTATTTTCAGGTCTAGAAGGCTTTATAAATAAAATAGCTGGTCACCCCCTGGCACAGAATGAGCGTTGTCTTCACATGTTTTTACAAGAGGCTACAATTGATCGCAACTATGTACCAGGCAAGATTCGTAACACATAACCAATTAAATTATTACTACTGTAAAACAATTCTCCTTTTCTTATAGCAAATGCCACCAACTTCCAAAGTTAACTTTAGTTGAATTGAAATTGAATAGCCAAGTTGAATTGACAAACAATAAATTTAACCAGGGTCCCTTTTATTGGTTCTACAATGAGATAATTTAATAACTATATTAATATTGGTTCACTATTTAAATCATTCATTCTATATAGTTTGGATTAAACTAAACTATTTATTAAAGAACGGAAGGTCTTGTAAGACCATTTCTTAATCATTTGGTAAACAACTTCATTTATTTAATTAGAAGAAACTAAACTATTTCAACTTGTCTAATAAAAGAGATATGTAGTTAATATTTTGAGGCCTTAAGTATCAACCTCTAAGAATAATATTTATTTGGTGTGAGAGTCAGTGTGTGTGGCTATAGAGTAATTTTGTATAGATACTAATATAAAATTAGGGTTTTTTTTTAAATTTCATGCAAAACATTTCAATTAATAACATTATTTGCAGGTAATTTGAAATATTAAAATAATCGCTATTAAAGAAATTCTCAATTAAGTGCTGAAAATTGTTTATGCTCGAAATTTAGGAGAATTGTTTTACAAGTAACCGTCCTAATCCAGGGTTGCCAAAAATCATAAATTTTGCTCTATTATCATATAAGAGATGAGTAATTAAAGCAAGGGAATATTTATAACCAGTATCCAGAAATGACTTGTATGGCAACCCTAAAGTATGCAAGCAGGAAATGCATAATATCATTGTAATACAATATTGTAACTTATTTCATTCCACATTTATTCGCCACATATTTAGCTGTTAAATCATGTTAATTTTACATTTAAAGCTATGTAGACATGGTTAAAATCAGATCAAGATCTATACATTAAAGGTGGTTTCTTACAGTAAATGTCAAAACTCAAAATCACTAAAACCAAAAACTATCTAGAAGAAAATTGTCATCCTTTTTGCCAAGATTCACAATCGGATATGAAAAGCATTCTATTGGGGAGGGTTTGCACCTTGTCTATCGACTTTATCCTTAATGTATACAATCATAATTATAAAACAAAACATACTATGTCTACTTACGCTTAAAGAGGGACTGATGCTAAAATAGTCTTCATTGATTTTTGTCGTATATTAGTTTTGTTAGCCAATTTGTATCTCGTCCCAAACGATTTTGTAAAGAACTAGTTGAAAAGGTCTCTCAAAAGTGTATTTTAGAACAAAAATTATATTAAGATAAGTGTCGATAAGCAATATGGTATTGTTAATATTGATGTAAAGGTACGCCAGTGAGTCGCCACTACAATTAAAAAAAACAAATGTATTTGCGTAAAATCGCTGCTTTTTTATCAAATATTTAAAGATAATATATAAGTCTTAAGCTTTAGGTTTCTATGCATAAAATATTGAAAATGTTAACTTTATTTTCTGTAGGTAAACATTAAGGTACGGCGTTAAGTTGCGAGAGCTTGCCAAGTTGTTTTTATAAATATTGTTTTTTATTTATAAAATACAATCAAATTACGAATTTTAGCTAAAGCTCGCTCGTGAAAATTCTTTAAACTTATAAGAGGAACTTTAGGTTTAAAAATTACTCAACATTTTATTTGTATCAAATAGTTCAAGTATTTTGATGTAGTAGAAACTTGAAGCTGCGAATATATATTTTTTACTTTTGCTTACTACACACATTTTATTATTATTAGCTTATATGATTAAAGCAGAATATACAGATAATTAGTGGCGATTGAATTATGTATTATTTTAAATTAATTCATTCCGGTTTTTTCTGGTTTAAACAAATGTTATATACAAATAGCTTTACACGGAATGAATTTAGGTAAATCTTATTCCTATTAAGTTTATAAATCTCATTGTTTTATTGTCATCATGTTCTAAAATTATATTTATTAAATCTGTTCTTGGCGAAATGTTGATTGCTCCATAATAAAAGACATAATTATCGTAAAGAAAATGTTTCACTAAAGGTAAAAAAATTAGTGATAATGAAGGTAGTTGTAAAAATCGATTAAAAAATGTTGTCGCCATGAACAGACGGATTGTTTGTTTAGAATAATTAGTTCAGTTCACTTGCGTGATTCTGAAATGACTTATTTTTTGTAATATATGCAATTTACTATTTTATAACCAATCAAAAATTTTATCACCGAATAATTATTGATTGGTTGTACAGATGCACTCATTATAATCATTAGACACAGAAAGTATGTTATTTACACCAGATGACATTTGGTTTTGTAAATCATTAGGTTAGGATTATAAAATAAATTTGCTATGGTGTCAAAATGTGTATTTATTTAAATTTAGTTTGTATAAAACAATAATCGTAGTTTAATAAAACAAATTTAATTAGCACATTTTTTCGTACCGTCCACGTTTTAAATCTTTCGAAGCAATAAGTCACTAAAAGTGATTTAAGTAATATGATACCAGAATAATACATTGGTGATTGAGAAGACCAGAATTTTTTTTAGGAATTGCTACTCATCGCTATAAGTTCAGTTTTAGGTCACTCGTTATATAATTGATTTGAAATATTTTTTATTAATTGCGTTTTTAATCAGTGTGGTTACGGGACCATTTCTAGCATATAATTTTGTTACATGTAAGAATAGCTTATTTTTAAAAGGTATTAATTTTATGGTGGTATGTAAAGGGTAGAAAGTGAGTTTCACCTTCTATAATATTAGTAAGTACTAAAAGTAAAGTACCCATTGAAAATATAACTCATTATTTTTTTTAAATATCCGAGGTGGAAATGCATAAGCGCATGCCCTGCCCTCAAAAATTGCAGACTCGCCAAACTCTCTGCTATTTAGAGACTGGGTGAGCAATACCCACTAAAACCACCTCGAGTAGTTCCTACAAAGCCGCGTTACAGAGGCTCCGGGGTCGCTGTCGCATTCTACCGGGACCCCAATTAAAATCCCTAAACATTTTACTTCAATAAATTATATCAACGGTCACAGACAGCGAATTTATTTCTCGCAATTTTTTAGTGTTTTGTTTGTGTAAAATCCGCTTTAGGTATATATATATATTATATTATGATAAGAGGGAAAGGTGAAATTATTTAAAAATAAATTATCTTTATAATTTATTTAATATTTTTTTTAGGAATTGAAATACGTCAGTTTTGGTCAGCCTGGCATGTTCAGTACATATCATGTTTTATGCTTACCAATAACACGAATGCGGAAGCCACTCAATTTAGCTGAAAAAAGAATAATTCAAAAAATCTTATACGACCTCTGTTTTTCATATAAATCGAACTCTGTTACACTTTTGAAGTGCCAAACAAAAATTCATTTTGAACCATTATATATTATTTCAATCTTAAGAATCTAAATTACAAGTTTTCCTCAAAAACTATGTTTCAACTTCCAACTAGGTAATAACCAGAACTAAATCTTTTTTTACAGAGTATACACCTAACAGGATGGCCAAGAGCGGGTTAACAAATCCCTTTTTGCCATAAGTGTTCAGAGGAGTTGTTCGGATTAATACCTGCAGCTGAATTTCAACTTCGGACGTCGAGGCAGAATACGAAATTCCACCCGTGTCACCTCAACGTTCGTCGATCCACAAATGAGCGTTTTTTAAGGCAGTTTTGCCGCGCACCACCTCTATGTATGAGGTATTTCCGAACCAATTCGACTTAGGGTCCTTCAAGAAAATCTTCTTAAAGCGCCGGCAACGCACTCGCGTTGAGTATCCATGGGCGGAAGCATCAGTTAATCATTAGAATTAAAAAATCAACGGCAACGTACTTCGTGCATTTATGATATGTGCTAAAAATTCTAATAATAGTTTAGATTTCTTCTCTGCTTTATCGACGTGTTGTTTACTGAAAAGACAATACTTAATTAATACCGTGACACAAAAAAGGGCCCGTCAAATCAAGAAACGCCTTCGGGTTTTTGAAGACACTTAAAAATACACAGAATAGCAACAATGTTAAACGAAATTCGGCAATCAGCATTTTAATCAATAAGATAAACGTGACAGTTTGACCAATCACAACAACTAATGTCAAACGAATGTCGCCGTTTCGTTTTGTGTTTCACATTCTTACCCCGGATTACAAATGACTAATTTATTATTATTACCTGTTCCTTAAGTAACTTTTACCTAAAAGTTTTATTAAAGATTTCAATGAGCAACCTTCTATTTGGCAAGCACCTAAATATTCCAATTCTAGGTTTGGTCGGACAGATTGGACCGTTTGAAAATCACAAAGATTATTATAAGTGAATCCGTCACTTCCGCAAAAAACCACATCTCCGTACGAACACTTTGCCGCTGCGGCCTTTCTAAAAATATTAATGAATAAAATAGTAATTACAAGAAAATATTTTTTTTGAACATTCGACGACATGACGTCTGTAAAAGTTTCAATTAAATGATTGCTTACAATTGGATTTCAATTAATAAATACCTGTGAACAAGCTATCATGTTTTACCGTAAAATTAGCAATTCCAAGGATGGAATTTTTAAATTCCAAATTTTGCACGGAGTTAATGGGTACACAATAAAATAATTGATAGAGATATGATACCATAAAATAATAACCCCGAGTTAGTTTGGTGGCGGTTGTTGGAAGGATGTTCACATAAATGAAACTGTTTGATGCTTGGTGTCAATTGGCTTTAATCATTTAAAACATGAACTTGGTGCACTCAGTTTCCGCACTTAGACTCTCACTAGGTCCGTTGTGCGTAATCGTTTAAAACATGAGCTTAAATAACTGAGATAAAATTAGGGGTATTGGGGTTGCAACGCTGGATTAACAAAAAACTAACTTAAGGGTTCTTAAATCTAAGTAACACTTCTATTACCTATAAAGAATATAAGTGTAGTCGACTTATTGTACATTATCGGAGGCGAGAATGTTATATTTCTTATAAACAGCTGCCCCTAAACCTCAGAGTTCTAGTCATAAGTTTTTAATAAATAAATAAAAAAATAGGGGTTCACCGTATAGGGCTTAAAATTAAGGGTTGTATGTATTTTTGTATGCCGTATCATAAAAAATCTAAAACCGCCCTTAACAATCGCAGACCTAATCGGTATGAACACAAAATTTTCACGAAAATCGGTGCAGCCATTTTGGAGGAGTTTAATTACAAACACCGTGATATAAGAATTTTATTTATTAGATTTCTGAATGTGGCAAAAACCAAAGGGCACATTTTGGCTTCAAGCGTGCCATGATTGCAAACGTTTGGGTTGTGCTTCTAATTATTAACTAAAATTTATATATTTAACTTAAACAATGTTAGGTTATACCTATAACTCCCTTCATAAACTATTTTTTGTGATAAGCATGACACAAATCTCGTGCAATACAACTTTTTGTATTTTAATAATAAATTTATTTATTGACAAATAATTGTTGTAAAGTAAATGGAACACTTGGCAGTCGTTTTAAATAAGGCGCCATTAGATATATATGTTAATAAAAGACATGTAAACGTTTACTCTTTATTCATAAACAAATGAAAATAGTTTTATCCCACTTTGAAAAAAAAATCGTGATGAAGTATTTTCTGTTTAGATGTTTATTATATGATAATGAAACAGCGTTTTTTTAATGTCCTAATTAGTTGCTGTGTCAGTATTAGCGTGAAATAGGTTTCGACTGGCTCTAGGCACGGAAACGCTTTGTCGCCACAATTTTTGTCCGCGTATTGCGATCTCTTCGTGCCACGCCTCTTGAGTTTTTCTGTGGAACATAGAATAGATTTGTATTCACATTACTTAGCATTCAATAATTTTAAAGTACTTTGACATTTTTAAAAATTTTGAAATAAAGGCCAGACCATCCGTCAGACGCCATTTACTATAAGCTATTTTATGCCATTTTAACAGAATTTTACAACTTAGCAAGTTGAGTACATAATCGAAATTGCCGTCCAGAATTATTTTATTTATAAAAGCTTACCAAATCTTTTGGCGTATTCATTCTCTAAATAGATGAAACTAATCTACTTTTAATGTGGCACTAAAGGTCTGTATTCACTTTGATTAGTGATTAGGAGACAGCGACTGATTACTGCAGGTGATTATTTCGCTGCGTAGTAACGTGATTAGAAGCGTGTTCGATTTTTTTGCGAGTGAACTGCGAGATGCCACGGTCGCAGAGTGCCTGCCAAAACACGTCTGGACAGGCAGAAGAACTCTTCGGTCAACCTGAGAGCAAAGTTGGTAGCTTGTGCCATGAATGGGTCTTCTATTAATCCATGTTCGAACCCATACCTTTCTTGGTCTTGCAAGTTCAGTTTCCAAAACTTCTTCGGTTTCAGATAGCACCGAGTTTAATACTTCTTTCAGTACTTCTTCCATTTGCAAGCGCGCTTTTCGATGTTCGTCCATACTTGCTGATCCATACTAGCTATTGACAACTTAACAGAGCCACTAAACAAGAATTGGACACTACGTGCCCTACACACCTGCACTAATCATCCTCAATTACAATCACAATCACTTACTTACACTCGCACTAATCAAAGTGAATACAGGCCTTTCCATTCACGAAAACAGAAAGATAAATTAAGTTATACGCGTATAGGTACCTGCAATTCTCAAGCAGCGGGCCTGTATTGGGAAATACAGTTTGAACAATCATGAGGCATGGGATGACAACCACTGAGAGAAATTGTATCTGTTCGGGAGGCTGGTTGAGGTACCGGCGCCTGTCCATCATGCTTAGGGGAGTGTAGCCTAGTGCCCGCTCTTTATCACCCTAAACATAGATATATAATATAACTATACTAAGAGGTACAAAAGGTATCAGAAAGAGATTTTATGACTAAAAAAACGTGTGTGTACACGCGTTAGAAGTTATACTTCTTTGGCGTAACAAGATAAAAATCTTTTCAAAAATTGTATCTTTCTTATTCTACGTTTGTAGAAAAATCGACACCAACAAAAAGAAATACTCTCATGATTTTTCCCTAACGCACCAAAAGAAGTATAACTTCAAAAAAACTAAAATGTTGACTATAGCTAACTTCAGGGTGTCGGTTTTTTGTGACGGTGTGCGGTTGCATCGTAAAAATTTACTCTTATAATTTTTCCCTAACGCGCATAAAGAAGAATAACTTGAAAACATTGAAATATATTATAATTAGCTATTTGTCACTTAAGTAATTGAACACTCTTATTAAGTTTTTAAAGATTCGTTAGCTTCTAATTATGCAAGAGTTTAGCTGTGGTCGATCAGTGTCTGATCTTAATAGTATTTTTTGATCATTCAGCGCTGATGGACTTAAAATTATGATATGGAGTTTTGCATTTGTTAAATGTGTAAAATAAGTTAAAGAGATATCAGGCTACAAGTAACACAACAGACTATACAAAACACATTATACCTACTTTGACAAAAAAACTTATTTTGTAAGTGTTGTTTCACTACATAAAAAAATGACGGGCGTAAAATATAAGTACCCACTTTTTTTAAAAATAAGTTTTGCTTCTGTGAAAAAAACTGTAAAAGTGCTATAGGTACCTGATTATAAAATTCTTCGTATACGGCCTCAGAAATTGCTTTAGCCACCCCAAACGGTTTACACGAACCAGACAAATCGCTTGTCGTCATTAATATGCCCTAGTAATTTTATCAATATTAATGAAATATGTAATATTTTCATAGTTACATATTATCGACCCGAAACATGACGTAAAAGAAAATTAAAATGGAATATTACGCAAAATAATCGTGTATTATTACGCTATATTTTGAGGAATTATTAGTTAATATCTACAGCATAAAAATTTTTTAGAGCCAGTTACAAGCATTGAAGTAAATGACTTAGATTTAGTATGAATCCAATTGTAAATATATTTCGAATTAATATTAATTTAGAAATTAGTAAATTAAATTTATATGGAAATAGTAAAACTTTGAAACGTTCTAAAATTAGCCACGTAAACTGCATCTTGGCAGCGTCTCCAGCCAAGTTCTGACGAAAGGGAAATGGCAATGTACCGTGGGACACAATTCGTAAACTGTAAGTATATGAAATTTATTAATGGACTAAAATCTTGAATTAAATCCCGAGTGAATACAGAACTTGCACTCATATAGGTAGATCTCGATTAGATCTTGGCTCTCATGTCACTATTATGTTGACGTTTGGAAAATTGAATGAAATTATATATAGATTTGGAATATTCTTAACGTTTACAAAGTTGCGGATTTAATACATATATTATTTATATTACCTTAAGCATCCTCCTATGAGAGTTATTTGTCCAGTCGAATGCACAATCCGTCAAAAGAGGAGTTATTTGCGCGCGAACCTACGTCAATAAAATTGATTCGTTTATTACGTTAGATAATTTTAGTAAGTATAATAAAATATGTCGACGAAGATATCATTTATAATAGTGAGTATGAATATGAAAAATTAATATTTTTTTTATTAATAGGCAAGTATGATTCATGACGATTATTTGAAAATCTTAGGAGATTTGGGTGAATTTCGACGACTTTCAGCTCTATCTATTGCAAAGTATAGGTATGTTATATGTATGTAATGGGCAAACAAATTGCTTTAGAAAAAAAATCTGCTTAAACAATAAAATAAGTTATATAATATTTTTAAGTATGATTAAAGTGGTTTTCGATTTTATAAAAGGTCTATTACCGGTAAAATCGAATAAAAAGCGTACGAGCCAAGGCAGTACATCATTACTCAGGCTTCCTTAGTTTTATAAGCACGGCGATTCGCAGGCCCTCTCTTCAACATTTATATTACATTCATTTCATAGCAATTAATTAGCATTTAATTATTTCGCATTTATTCTATTTTTATACGTGAGTGGAAAATATAGAGCGAAAATAATATCTTCCATTGACCCAGGAACCGTACAAACGGAATACAGTATTGAAATAAGTACGAACCTGAAAATAAACCGCCAAATCCGTGCAGAGGATATTATATTTTAATTCTAGCATTATCCTTTCGCGGTCCGCTATCGAAAGCTTGGATAAAAGATTTTTGTCCTAGAAACAGGTATTAGATTTAGGGCTGCCCGGAAGAGCAAAATTAAACAACAAAACTGGCCATAGCTAGCTTGTAAGCTATTCGTAACGAACATACAGAAATACAACTTTCCTCTAATAATAGTATAAATATGAATAATTTATGTATATTGTTTCTCTAAACAATAAATAGTAAACTAAACAAGAAAATTATAGAATCAAAAAGATTACATATTCTTCTGTACCTAAAACACCCTCCACTTTTGGTCTTATTTCCCGTTTCCACGGGAAGTTTTCTTCGTATTATTTACGAACTTAAAAAACAAATTGCCACAAAAAAACTAGCTGTGGTAGTGTTGAAGGACTATCTAATCTCATTGTATCAATAGTATCTCAGCCTGAAAGTACCTCGATAATCTTCTTAGCGAGAAAGTAATGGTGGTGTTCCAGCGTTGAAGAGCGGTACATACTAGCGAGGGGGTGACGCGTCAATTGCAGATAATTATTATTAAAGCCAGGGTGATCCAGGTCATGACACAGGCCAGCCAGCATCAGACCTGCAGTCTGTTCATCAATATTTCTTTTAAAAACAATGTGATGAAAGCTTGTAGCGATATTACGTTAATAGTTCACGCCATTAAAGCGACAGTAGCGCGTTCAAGTATTACGTAGGCACTATAGGGTGGAGGGGGGTCTTTGATTTTTGAGGAAAGGGGGGGATAAATTGCAGTAAATCTCCTTACATAATACTTGAACGGCCCCTGAGTTTAATAATACTAGGATTTCAAATATTCGATTGAAAATGCTATTGCTTCGGATGACACAATATTCATAACTTATACTTGAAACTAATACTTAAAAGATTACCAGCAATGCATAGAGGGGTCTGAATGTCACTTATAAAAATATGTTCTTTATGCACTTTGAATACAGATCTTTAAATATTGACTTAAATATAAGTATAATAAAAACCTCACCTCAACAAAATCAAAATATCCTGTATTATTAACCAACATCAAATACATGGTATGTGTAAAGACAAACGCGTGTTCCGCGTTGTGGTAGGGATTGTCCCGATAAGACAAAAGTACGGTCAGCACAAAATCAGCTAAGTTTTGTCTTTCGAAATTACGGTCAGCAAAAGTTTCCACAAACATGGAGCAAACTAGGCCGGGCATGTCTTCTTTGCTGCCTTCGCTTATGTGGTAATTGTAACTGAATATATTATTATATATATATAAATAGAATGGAGAAACTTAACGCCTACTATGACTTCCTGTCTGTCTGACTGTCAAAATCCAATAATGACGTATTTGCAATAAGTCTCGACTCTAATTCGACCTTAATGGCGATAATAATCAACTTCAAACAGGTATACAACTTATATATAGAAGTCTCCCAAAAAGTTAAAAAACAGTTGTTTGATGAATTCTAAAAAAGTATCTAATTTTATTTTTTTCGCAGAATGTCAATACCTAAAACTGGTAAACGTGAAAATGACCATTCAATTTATCAATGAAATTTGAATTGTTTTTAACTTTATTGTAATGTACAAAGTAAATTGATTAAGCAATAAGTATCCATTGAAGTCTGTTTTAATACAAACAAAAATTGAAAAACATATATAATATATGTGGCGCTAGTGTCGGCTGCCATTGTCATTTTATGTCACAGTCACAGTTAACAACGTCAAAGTCTTATCAGTTTATAACCGTTATTACTTGTGGTTTATTCAATTTTCTAATATTACAAATAACCTACAAATAAACGACTATTTGATTGTTTATGGTAATAGTAATAGTGACTCATTATTGTTATTATAGACTATCAAATAATCGTTAATTTATAGATCTATTGCTCGGACTTTAATAATAATGGCTATGATATTACTATAACTATATTGACTATCAAATAGTCGTTAATTAAAAGATACATTGCTCCGACATTGATAATATTGACTATGAAATTACTATTACTAGTAGTAATTTACTACAGACTATCAGATAGTCTGTTAATTTGTAGATCTAGCAACATTGACAAATCAAATAAACCACTAGAATTTTCGGTTTTAAACAAATTTTACTTTCATGTTATTAAGTTATAATGAAAATGCCTTTGTTCCAACATATATAATAGTTTTAATTTTTTTATGTTAGAAATTGTTTTATTTTATTTTAAAGGAATATTGAGTTACCTTTTGAAGTTGGGCGGTGGTAGAACAACTCCATTAGTTTCCATCAATTCCTCTAGATCATGTCTGCACGGTAAGAGATGCAAACCCATCAGATTTGAGTAAACCTTATTAAGATTTTCCTGAAATAATAAAACTATTTTAAAAATATCACGAATTTGTTTAAGACATTGAGGCTCGTACTTAAACCTAGTCTTAAGAGCTGTCAAACCATTACTTTTAGTGAAGTTTAATATTTATTTATTTATTTACAAATTACAGCCCATGCATGGCCAAGCTTAGACTAAAAATAACATAAAACTACAATAAAATACAATTAAGTTATTTACAAAATCTTATCCCCTTCAAGTATACTCTCAAATCACAGTATACTACCCCCATACGCTTCCCAAATAGGTCCCTCCACGGTGAAGAGTCGAGAAACCCATTAAGCAGCGAGTAACCGAGGAATGGGCGCTTGTTGTCGCTGGACAGTGCGAGCCGAACGCACAGCAAAAAGGTTATGTTTCCGGCAGCGGTAATAGTTGTCCGGAACGTACAGCCTCATGATATATTTGACAGTGCTCAAGACGAAGTGGGTAGTTTAAAAAGTAAACACTCTTATACGAGGGGAGGTCCAAAAGTTCGTGGAATGAAAGGGTTTTAGTAAAAATGAAACAGTAAATTTATTTTTCCTTTTCAATATAATCACCCTTAAGCTCAATACATTTATTAGATCTATGAATTAATTTTTCTAAACCATCGTAAAAATATTTTTTATCTTTTCCCTCAAAATGAGCCAAAATTGCCTCCTTTACCTCATTGTCGTCGGAAAATTTCCTTCCCCTTAAGTCTTTTTTTAAATTGGGGAACAAATAAAAATCACTTGGGGCCAGATCTGGACTATAGGGTGGGTGGACTAGTGATTCGAAGCCATGCGTGTGTAGAGCAGCCATTGCAACTTTGCTCTTGTGAACCGGCGCGTTGTCTTGCAAGAGCAACACACCCTTGGTCAATTTTCCCCGACGTTTTTCTTTGATGGCATCCTTTAATTTTTCTAGTATTGTTGCGTAGTATTCTCCGGTTATGGTCCAGCCCTTTTCTTTATAATCAATCAGTATTATCCCCTCACAATCCCAAAAACAGTAGCCATCAACTTTCCAGCCGACTCCGACACTTTGAATTTCTTTGGCGGTGGTGTCCCCTTTTTATGCCATTGCATGGACTCTTGTTTGGACTCAAGCTCGAAGTGATGAACCCATGTTTCATCGCCGGTAACAATTCGCTCCAAAATCGATCCAGGATCGTCGCTACACAACTCCAAAAAATGTTTTGACGCTTCGACGCGCTGCTGTTTTTGAAGCGGCGTGAGCATTCTCGGTACCCATCTTGCACTGACTTTTGTCATACCCAGGTGGTCATGTAGGATTCGCAAAATTGTGGTATCTGATACTCCAACTAATGCAGATAACTGTTTTTTCTTCAAACGGGTGTCCTCCAGTACAATTTTTTCCACTTTTTCGACGATGTCTGATGTGGTGGCCTCAACTGGCCTTCCTGAACGGGGGTCGTCTTCAATCGACTCCCGACCATGTTTAAAAAGACCATGCCATTTGTAAATCATTGATTTACTAGGGCACTGTTCCCCGTAAACAGTTTCCATTTCATTCAAAATGGTCTGAGCGTTCTTTCCTTGCTTGGTAAGGAATTTAATGACAGCACGGTGTTCAATTTTCTCCATAGTTTCAGTTTTCTTCCGGATTGACGTGTTTAGCAGGCGAGTGTTCGTAAACGAATGACGCAATAGGGCTGAAACTCCATTTATATACTAATTATGAGTCCCCAATTAGTATGACACTAAGCGAGCGCCCCTATCCCCACTCCATCCCCTCCATTCCACGAACTTTTGGACCTCCCCTCGTAATTACATCTACCCGCATTCAACGAACATTTAACGATACATACATGGTATATTTTCTTGGTCTGCATATTGTAGAAATGAACTATGAGTGAGCAATAGTTAACAAAAACACTGAATATCATCTCATCGTCAGTGTCAAATGGCTGGGCATTTGTTTTATTTGTTAGTTGGACCACACCTATAAAAAGCACACCTGTGTTAATAAGCTCGTAGTCGTGAATTTAGTTGAGAATTTCATTATTTTTTAATTTTAAATTGATTGACATTAAAATATGAATCAGTATTACGTAAAATATAACAATAGAAACTTTGTAATCAGTAAATTTGCTTGAGCCCATTAATCCTGAACAAAATATTTTAAAGCAAAAATTGTCTTGACCACAAAAGGTAAATTACCTATTTACTTGGAAATAGTTACTAACAAAACCAACACAGGTTTGTGTCCCATTACCCACAGGTGGCATGTTTGTGCGAAAAATCCAGAAAAAAATTGCTAGGTAAAAGGAAATCCCATAATTCTAACCAATAACCCCATTTTTGTCCATAATGGGGGCAACAAGGCTCGTTCTGACAACTGTCCCAGTGGTGGGATCTATTTCTTTCGTAAACCGAGGGTCGCGGTACACATCGCGTAGGTTCAGTACCTGACCTGTACGAGCGACTAGACCTGCTGGTGTCTGTTCTTGGCTTAAGCTGGAAATTATAACGTGGTCTTATTTTGATGCAAAGCTCTAAAACGACGTACTTAACAATTCCAGCGATTTTTATAATGATAATTTAGTGACGGTAGATATTTCGTACATTTTTCGAAAATTTTAAATAAAGAGTTTCTTATATATACATATAAGAAAAATGGTCTTCGTTTGAGGCTCCTTCACGCCTAAACCACTGATCGTATCGACATGAAACTACTGCCATTCGATGCAAAATTTTTAAATTCCAACGTTCCTTCATTTTTTAATTGCTGTTTTACTTTTATGAAAATTTATACATACGGACTTAACCGCGGAAACATTCCTAGAACCTCAAAACGTCAACATCTGTTAAAAACTCGATTTTCGAAAATTTTCAATTTTCTTAGCGGGAAGTTAAAAAGAAGAATAATAAAAATATGAAAAAAAAATAATAATAATGAAACATAAAATTTTATTTATTTCCTATTTTAATTCGCCCAGCAAAGCGGGCGGGAAACGGCTAGTATCGTATATAACATTTTATTAGCATAAAAATGTAAAGTATGGTGCTTAAATTCGTTAGGTAAATATATGTTTTATGCCAAAAATCTAAAGTTACAGGAAATACTGTTTAACTGCCTCTATATGAATTAAATGAGCGTACAGTTTATTAAAGTTTTCGCTGCCTATAGACATCAGTAACGCGGAAATGCTTACAAGTGCGTTGCGGCTTTGGCCGCCTGTCAAAATTTTACTAAATTTAGACATTATAACGACATAGTATTGTCTTTTATTGACATAACCTTTACACATTTAAAGAAAACACTTTTGTACTGGAATGAAGTTACGTATTATTATAAGTGTTCACGCACGCTGTAAAGCACGCGAAACGTCGGTTAAATTTAAAATCATGTAAAATAATTGTAAATTTTTAATAATACATTACTTCAATCCGGTAAAAAAGTGTTTTCTTTAATTATAACGACATTTTATCTTTACTCCTACACTAGAATATATAAAATGTAATAATGGATGTAGCTACGTTTACGAAACTCATATTGTAATTATATGTTTACTATATTTTGACAAGCTTTTTACCTACCATTTTTAGTTCACTCCTTTAAACCGTGAATTATTTACAATATAGACAAATATTACTAACTTAACTTTCATCTTCCTACGAGGCATGGTGGTATTCTCCGAACTCCAACCATCATCCCACATATCTGCTTGCAGGTGTTCACCTATATGCTCCCGGTCAATGATAAAGAAACTACTTCTCATAGCGCCAATAAAGGATTTTATCACCGCCTGTTGTAACAAGTTAACAATCCATTTATTTTCGTATATTGCGCTGGCGATATAATTTTTTCTTATTGAATAACTCTCCTAGTCATAATCCTCAAATATCTAATATAATTTTTATCGCTCTGATTATAAATAATACTTACAAAATATGCTATATAAATTAGACTTAAGATTGGTAGAAGAATAGAGAGCTATATGAGAAAGGAGGCTGCTAACATATGTTTATGTTTTTATAACATTTAGGACATTTTCATTCAATTAGAAATCAAAATTAGATCCATCGTTGTGAACATAAGAACTTAAATCTATTGAATTTTGGATTATATACTTCCTATTGTATACCGTACAATAATGTACGCCCAATTAAATGAAATATGTTTAACTTACTTAATTAAAGTGTACACACATTATAGGTAGAATGCAGTCGTGCGGAACATCGATTCCATCGGAGTATGAAAGTTATGGAATATTGGGTACACACACTTATTCCATATAATATCGGCTGTGTAACTGGAAAGTCTCAATAGAGAAAGCCGGCGTGACGCGTGAGGCTTGGAGAAGATTATAAGTATCCTCTAACGGCTTATAATATATAAATCTGGAACAGCTGGGTTAACACAGAACACAGTGCATTACCTACAACTATTAGCTACAAGGATGTCTAACGTTTGCTCACCAGCATATCAGTGAGCATCGTATCAATAGAAGCGAGATCACAGAAGTAATTGTGTAGCAACGTTCTAAGCTCGCTGTTAAGATGAGCTGTCTTTTGGAGAGTGATCCTTGCTTGAGCCTGATGCACGGCAGCGCCCGACCAGCACGCCACACTTACCACAGTGTATATTATGTTCTGAAAAATAATTTCCAATTTTGTACTGCGAATGACCGTTATAGGTCCTTTATCGTATTTTGTATTGTTTTGTATACTTTGAAGTTATAATTATTATTCGTTCATGATTGTGTTCACCGTAATCACATATAATATGTACGTAGGTATTTTATAACAATTTTCAGTTGATAATTTTAAAAACATTAAAATTGCATGTCACCGATTCTACACCTAATAGAATTGAACCTAAGGGGTAATAATTATTGCTTAAAAGGGTTTCGTTTAGAAGATAGAACACTGATTAGTGTCTACCCTTTTTCTTTACCTACCAGAGTATATTAGATAATATAAAACCTGCAATCGGGTAAGGTTTAAAACAAACTTCCTTTACATAATTGTAAATTGTCATCATTAATAGCCTATAGCCAAAAACGTACATAACTTACATGATCGTAAGGTTCACAATGCGTCCTAAACAGTTCTAGCACAGCGTAGCAGTCGCCATCTGGTTTAAGTACTGGCATACACAGCGCCACTTTTGCGTCTACCCACTTCAGACCCTCCGAAAATCGACGATCCCTTTGCACGTCTTCTATTACTAGGTATTCTTTAGTAAAGGCAACGTGTGCTGATGCTATTTTATCTTCCTCTATGTATACAAAATAATTAAGATAAATTAATTTATAATAAAACGCGGTCACATATACGTATATAAATAATTTTGATAGAACGAAGAAACAGATTCCAGAATTTTTTGCCAACAATATTTGTCAATCACTAATTCTTAAAAATAATGTTTAACATACCTATAGGTATATTAACTTCATGCCTTTCAGGATTTTTTGTGTTTTGGGTCATCAAAACAATCTCATTTTTAATCGGATCAACAATGTATACAAACACGCCTGAAATTGTAAATATGTTCTAAATATCAATGTACATATTACTATTAATTATAACTTGATCAATACATACCTGAACTATTCGTAACAGCTTTTAAAACATTAGCTGTTTCATATAATAATGAGTTAAGATCAACTGTGTCCTCTAGGAACACATTAAATCTATTTATATCCAAGTAAGGTCCTTCTCTCACCTCTTCCTTAACATCCTTTCGTTCTATTTCCGCATATGGCGCTATCACACGTCGAGTTATTTTATCCAATTTGTCTGATGGTACCAAAAAGTGTGATTGCACTTTAGACACACTATGCTGAGCTTCATCGCCTTGTTTAATTGTATCCAGACGACTTTTTACAGATTTAACGCTTCGTGGAGTAGGATCCACCATAATTAAGGATTTTTTAATCTTTTCACACACTTTTCTATGCAATTATTTGACAGGTGTCATGACCATGTAGATACAAAAATATTAAAGTACACTAATGGCACAATAATAATAATAATTTATGAGCCTATTATAATTTTTGAATTATAATATATTTTAATAAATAAAACTAAAGGTAAAATTTGAAATAGAAAACACAATATAAGTTTTTAGGTGTTGTATATATTTGAATACCTTTATTTTTGATAAGTATTATACCCTTTCCTTTAAAAACTGTCATTGTCAAATTTATAATACAACATTCATTTTACATTTACAGGGATCATTGAAGATAACATGTCACAGAAAAATTACTAGTAAACATAGACGGTGTATAAAGCATGTAGACTAGTGTCATTTTAACATAAAAACCAAGCAAAATCTGGCCAATTTATATGTCTGACTAAAAATGGCTCTCAAAGTCAAAGCCAATGAAATGGCTAGTACTCATTACTTCATATGACAATTTGTTTAGTAATACATCACAAACTTATTAACAGAAACATAGTCCGCTGAGCAGGGCTAAATATATTTTTTTTAAGTTAAGACTGAGTGCATACACCTGCTTAAGATGAATTACTGTGATTTGTCATTTAACAAAAGCTTAAATCTAATTTGTGTACACTTAAAATGTATAAGGATCAGTCCAGATTTCAATGTACAAAACTTATGGCCAAGTTATTAGTTTCCTGTCCTTTTTTGGTGGTGTACAATCTTCATTATCCTAAAAAATATAATATGACTGTTAAAATACTGCAATCATATAAAAATTACGTTCTAATTATTGGCTTTATTGTCTTAGGACAAAATTTGTACACACATTACATTTGCCACCTAAAGAATGTAATAGCAATAAAGGCATACCACTAACCGGACAAACTGGGACTTTTCTTTTAAAGTTATCATTTTCTTTAACTAAATTAACATCCAATTTTATTCTTTTAATATGTCCTGACAGAAGATCTGGTGGTGGATTTAGTTTCTCATCATCTGGTTTACTTTTTGTCTTTAAATTATGCCAATTGTTTATACTTTGTACTGCATTAAGCTTAGAAGGTGATTCTGGGCTGCTATTTCTATTTTTATTTAAAACTTTCCCTCTACCAGTGTCCTTGTATTTTCGTTGTCCATAAGGGACGCAGAAGTTGTGAAATATAGATAATAGTTTATCTCTTTGCATGGTATGTAAATTTGGCACTCGTAAGCGTCTCTATAACAATATACTTCATTAAAAACACTAAAATGTTAGAGCAAAAATGAAGTACAATTATAGATTTTTACCTCTTCGATAATTAATAAAAGTTCTTCATTGCTCATTAATTCTGGATGAAGCAACTTGTCGCAAGATGAAGCCATAGTTCTTTACATTATTTAATTCATTACAGAAATTCTTTTATGTACAAAAAAACATTAACCTATAAACTATAAAAGCAAGTCAAAAACTCAAAACTCATAATTCAAAATAATTTCAAGTGGCAGTTAGTATTTGATAGTAAATATCCGATGACATTTAACACTGACAGTGACTATTGACTATCAACAACCTATTGATTAATTTATTTTCCGAATGTTTTACTATTTGTCAGACAAAGTTCTACGACGTCACTGTCATTGTTTTGTTTTCAAGCAAATTCCTGTTTTGACAATTTATTGTCATTCTTGATTCTGTAGTTTTCGTGTATGATTGTTTGCTTCACCCGTGCAATATTTCTGATTTTATTTAAAAAAACGAAATTTCTTAAATCTTTAGTTAAATTTTCTTAATTAAGTTTTTATTAATACTAATACTAGTTTTTGTGTCAACAGAAACGGGGTATCATAAAAGTGACCCTCGCCCGATTTACTTTAATGAAAAAAATAAATTCGCGCTTATTTAATATCTTCATGAGACAAACTATTAAATTTATAAACTGTATTAAAGTGTGATAAAATTGCGCGCAAATGCAAAACGTCCTCGGGAAAATATCGATGTGCGGTTCGGACCCGGAGTTGTGTGTTCGGTGGGACTATGTTATTCCTCAGTGCCTTAGCAATCGGAGTGATAACAAGCCTTCAGAATGGTACGGTGGAGCTAACGGCGACGGACAGTGACATAGCATCAACGACGACAGATATGGGCTTGATAGAGACCTCGAGGGTACCTGATAGCGGTGATTTTGTGAACGTGACCATTCAAGAACGGCCCTCGATGTGGGACTTGTATTTGAACCACTGCCCGCGTTGGAGGCCCATAAACCATATATTTTTTCAAGTATCAAATGTGTTCTTCTTGCTCTCATTTTTGGCACCCCACACTCCTAGTGGTCTCATTTGGCTACGTGTTGCCCTTATCCTAGGCTGCACCTTCTCTGGCCTGTGGGCTTGGAGTATAGAGTGCTATTTGGATGCTGTGCTGTGGAATAGTGCTTTTATCATTATTAATTTTGTGTACTTTGCTGTTCAGTTTTATTTGATGAGGCCTATCAAGTTTCACAAGGAGATTGAAGAGGTAAAACACTTTTAAATACAATTTTATTACTACAAGTTTAGATAAATATTACTTTCTTTTCTAAAATAAATGAGGGTAGCTATATTCAACACAACATAACTCATAACTTGTGTTAAAATAAACAAGTTGACTCAGAAAACATATTTTCAATAATAATATTTTTTATTGCGGTTTAGTAATACAATTATCAGTTTTCTTTATGCAGAATAATTGTTTAAAGAATACTTCCATATTGCTATTAAACTGAGACAAACAAAACTTCCTATATATATATATATATATATATATTGGGATTTTCTGACTTTTTTGACTTCCCATTTAATTTCATTGTGATAGAAATATTTTAAGTATAATATAATCATTATATTGTCTGAATACTTTATATAATTTTCCTTGTTTTTATAAATTTAACTTATTTATAATGTATAGATATGTAGTGCTGTTTACCTTTTGATAAGGGATCACTGCACTTTCATTAGTTAATGTATTCTCTACATCAAGATAGACAGTAGAAAGTTTAATAACTTACATTAATTATTGAAACAATCAGTTCTTGTATAATTTTTGTGAGATATTCCAATACTTCTTTGTGGTCAGGTAAAATAAAATTTATCTTTTATGTTGCAGTATATATATATAAATTATATACACAAGAACAATTTTAAATTTTGCAAAATTTGATTTATTTATATAATATATTATTACATAGTTTGATCTATTTTGTGCCTTACAATATCAGTCACAAAATATATTTTATCTCTTCTATATTTTAGAAATATAAATTAAATTTTATCATGGTTGTCTCTGTAAAATTAAATAGTTAATATTAGTAGACCACTATTTTAGTACATAAGGCATCTTTATCACAATTATACCCATTTAAGTCGGGTAAAATAAATTTGGTAAACCGAAAATGGTTGCTGAAAATTTCTGTAGTTTTTCTGTCCTAGAGTGATGTAATATTGCAGATACTCATTGAATTTCAAAGTGCAGAATACTTTATTCATAATGCTATTTTTATTCAAATGCACAAAAGTTTCTATCACATTATTCATTTTTATATCTTTATAGCTACCACGAAGTAATTACTTCACGCGAATTTTTATCTATCGTAAAATATTATAAGTTATAACACACTAAACGTTTATTTTACCACTTTAGTTAAAATAGTTTTACTTTACAAAATTTTTTTGCAAAACTATTTTTACCATAGTGTTAAAAATACCATTATCAATTTTGAATGCATACAGATAGTTCTGAAGGTCTTCTATTAACCAATAGTTAAAGGAATGCTTATGATTAAAAACAGAAGTATCCAAAATGAAATTTTGTGTATTAAAATTACCTTATTGTTAAAAAAGATCAACCTAAAAGTTTACATGTTCTAACACAATACATTTGGTTCGATAACAAGTATAAAATCGTATAATAAATTTGGTTCTTTCTCGCCAAAAGGTCAAATACGTCTTAGTAAATTCGATAAATTCGCTTTCTTTCATTGATTTACTAGAAAAACGTATAACAGATGAAAAAGTTTTATTATTGTCAACTTTTACTTCCAATAATAGAATTTATCGATACTAAAATATGAAGCCATGTGTTAAAGTAATTTACCAGAACCCAATATGGTGTTGTATAGCAAATCGCGTCTGCTTCAATGAATCACGTTTCGAAAGTCGATATCGAGGTTTAAATCGTGGTTCAAGTACGTCCAAAACTTATTAATTATTCAGTTTACACGATTTTATTATTGATAGTTAACGATACCTATTTAGGCGTATTTGACAGCCAACTTTTGTAACATATTTTCCTGTCAACAAAATATAGAAAATACTCTATATTACAGCTTGACATTGTATTGAATTCCAAATTCGGCTTAGAACTCCGCGATACGAATGTTTTACAATAGTAATATTTGATATAGAACAATCACAATTTACGTTTCGTAATTAATATTCTGACTCAAGATATTGGAGAATCGGAACAGTTGCTTAACTTTGAGTTAGAAACATTGTAGCTACCGTGGTTTTGATTCGCTGTTCTACTAATTGCCGACTAAATCTGACTACAAGTCATCATAAATCACGAGAAATTACTGTTTAGTTCCTTATCACAAATTTGAAATCATTACAAAATGTTAATTAGTTAACGAATGAATGTAACAGTAACGAGATATTTGAATGGTTAAGTTAAAAAAGGCGTAGTTCACCAGGTATGTGATTATTACAATAAATTAAAAGATAACTGACTGAGACATTTTAATAAGTAGTCAGCTTTTTATGTCATCTGATCTTACAAGGAAGAATGAACTTGCATTTGCAGACATGTAGTTATTTTTATACTTAATTAAAACAAATATAAAAGCAATTAATTCTAAATGTGAGTCTTATTTCCCGGTAAAATTGTCGTTCGATTCATTGTCTACAGGAAGATGGGGTATTTAGTGCGAGGAAATTGCGACGCCGCCATTCTTATACTTTTATACGCAATATGTCAGGAAAAATATATATTGGTACATACATATAATAACAGACCATTTAAATGTTGCTGTTATTTTTTCAAATGTAACTTGATCTTTGAGGGTAAAAATCTCAGATACATCCATAGTGTTGTAATCGTCGAAAAATGTTGCCTAATTTTCAAGCTAATATGTGTGGCATAGCCCCTAATTTGCGCAGTCCTTTTTGAACACATTCAAGACGTTTTCGACACCCATTACGGATAAAGGTACCTTAATAACTTCTACCCGCAACAGTTGTAATATGTAATTTTGTGAATAGTATAAGTAATTGTTGGGTAGTTTTCTGTTCTCCAAAAACTAGATAGCTAAACCAAAAATATATAATAATGTATTACACGTGAAATAATTTAAATGACAACCAAAATATACAAACAAAGTTGAGCGTTTCATAGATTTTGGTTACAAATTGAATTTAAAACCAACAATTCCCGTAAATGTATTACACCAGCGAAATTTACAGTGATTGTGTGAAAGGGTCATTTAACTTAGAACTGGGTTAAGTGTACTTTATATAGGACGATGGCTTCGCTTTGAGTGGTCTACATTTATCATGAATAAATGCCGGTATTATCCGAAATATTTCAATGTACTTAGAGATTTAGATAATATTTATCGGATGTATGTGTTATCGTTTTAATAGTAAAAAAAGATAAACGTCTCATTAATGCGATTACAGTTTTATTATTACTATATTTCTTTAAAAATCCCACCTATTTAAGCCTAGTAATTGCTTACTGGTAGATATACTATTCAAATTTAGGTCGAGTCTAGCCCATCCAGCTATTTGAGTAGAGTAGAGCTTTGAGTCCTCCAGTATGGCTGCGTAAAAGCATTTCTGCCGAAAATGAAACAGAATTCCGTAAAGGGTCCGTAGACGTGGCCACTCACTACAGTTTCATCTGTAAAATGTATCATAATTACAAAAAATCTTGGTGAAGAAATTTAAGGAGATTTAAGAAAATTCACTACTTAGGCATATAATTGTTGGTCTAACAATTATGTTGGTTAGTTTAAATCAGTGTTTCCCAGCCTTTTTTGTGCCAAGCCTTACTAAAATTCTTATGACCCCCCCCTCCCATTTATTCAACATTCAACATACATAACTTCTAATTTGAAAAAAAACAATTGTTAAATTAAAGGAACATAAATTAAACCTTTCGTATTTTTCTGTTTTAGGAAAAACTTACCAGGAAATTGTTCGATACGATAAACATGAAAAACTTAAATTCTAATTAAAATAATTTTCAATCCAATCAAATTGCCCTCCTGTGGGGCGTGGGCCAGTAGGTATATATATAAACATGCATATGTGTAAAACTATTTAGTAATTACAAGGGTTTATTACAAGTAATATTATTTATTTACATTTTGTTGCTTTATGATAAAAAAAATTAACAAAATTACATGTAAAGGAAACGCAACTGGCGGCCTTATCGCTTTCGAGCGATCTCTTCCAGGCAACCACTGTGAGAAAAGAAAAAAAAAATGTATTAAATTATATAAGGTAGGCAAGAAGTGCAAAAATACATGTATTACAAGTAGTTGTTCAGAAAAAAAAACTAAACAGGAACAAAACACAAACTAGACTAATAAAGGATACATGAAAAAAATAAAAAAAATAAAAAGGGCAAATGAATCATTATAATTTAATTTAATATCAGTCTCACGTCAGTTAGTAGGTATTATTAAAGTTGGGGATACGTTATTATCCAATTAAGCTTAACATAAAAATGATAAGAGGCTTGCGTTCAATGTCATCCAGCAGCCTTTTTAAATAATTATCATTTAGCAATACTAAATTATACTTGAAGCCTTAGAAATGGCAATCTAGTTATAATTACCTATAGTATATATGTATATACAAATATATTTACTGCTTACACACGGTTCATATTATATTTATTCAGAGACGTCTTGGAACTAAGTATAACACCCGTTTGTCAAAAATGTTTTAAATTCGACATACAGTTATCATATTTAGCACTAAGTCTCGAATTTAACAATCCTGTTCTCGTCGCTATAACCTCAGTGTTACTTTGATAATGATGAGGCTAAATAATATTATCAATTTTTTAACTAATCTTCTAGCTGGATTATTTAAAGATTAGATATGTTTTGAATAGGGTCCAAATTAATATGATGATTGTTGATAAAGTGCGTTATGCATCGGACTCGATGCATTTCTCTTGTACTGTTCCATATTCATATTATTATTTTTTGGTAAAAGAAGTAGCCTTCTACTAGTGTTATCTGATCTTAAATATAAAGAATTTAAAAGCAGCATTTTTATCCAAGGTTTTTTCTCGAAACATTAAGCTTATCAGTCTATTGTACTAGTGTTAGAATTCGTGACGAGCGTTGTCGCACGAGAATGTGTTCATTACTCACTTTCGGATTACACGCTTAACGCGAGCACATCTTCATACCATTGTAGATAAAGACTTAAGATCTTAGAGAGATAGAAACGTAAAACAAAATT